TGGACATTCTTCCCGTGTCTGTGTGGATTTGCTCCAGTTTCCTCCCACGTTCCAAAGATGTGCAGTTAGGTGGATTTACCATGCTAAATTGCCCATAGTATCCAGGGATGTGCAGGCTAGGTGGGAAATGCCATGTTACAGGGCTAGGGTAAGGAGGTTGGGTCTAGGTGGGATGCTCTTTGGAGGGTCAATGTGGACTCAATGGACTGAATGGCCTTGTTCCACATTGTAGGGATTTCATGATGATTCCATGAATTTTGCTCCTGAGTCTTGTGGCTTGATCCTTTTGGTCTGTGCTGGTATGACTGACTTGAAAGGAAACCTCACTACTTCACAGGAGAAAAGAATTAACCAAGACTGCTTCTCTAAGTTTGTACATGACCACAATTTCTGTTGGATGTTAGTTGAGATGGAATTGGGTAGCGCATTCTCACCAGTCTGAATATGTAATCTTGCATGAACACAGCGTGACTCCTTGGATAGGAGTCTGCTGTTGATAGGAGAGAGGAGGAGACTGTTTCATCAAAAATGCATGAGGCTTACGGTCGTGTGAAAATGTCACTAAATCAAAGTACATTGAGTTTTGACATGTTGAGAATATGCTTTTATATAATTTATCAGCACAGGGGACTGAATTTAAATTTCCCCTTAGTTTGCATCAATATCCTTGCTTATTAGAAGTACGGTTTTAAGTAAACCATTTCAAACGTGACACTTCTTTTCAATTTCACATTTGTAACTTATTAAATCCTTAGATTTCCTTTTGGCTGTAATTGAGAAATTAATGCCTACACTCCTTCCCACCTACTACTTTGCCTGTTTCAGGTTATCATCATTTTCACCCCTCTTCGCTGAGACGATGACATCTTTATTAGCCAGTCCTGAGCTGCACTCCTTGCTTTGTGTCTGCATTAGCATCGGCTTATGAACTCTTTTTGCAAGCAAAAACTAGATTATTGGCAGCTTTGCTATCCTTTGTGAATTCACACAAATTGTCACCCTCATCCGGGTTTACAGTTAAAATGAAGCGTAGAGCAATTTTAAATTTCCCTTCAAAGACAAAATCAGAAATTGTTAGAAAAACTCTGGTCTGGCAGCATCTGTGGATACAAATCATAGTTAACTTTTCAGATCCAGGAGAGAATTCCGTTTTGAAGGAGGGTCAGTCGACCTGAAACGTAACTCTGATTTCTGTCCATCGATGCTGCCAGACCTGCTGAGTTTTTCCAGCAATTTCTGTTTTTGTCTTTGTTTCTGAATTCCAGCATCCGTAGTTCTTTTAGTTTTAAATTTCCCTTGTTTTCCAGTTTACGGTCTTTTTTAAAATAGTGGACCTCCGTCATTAGATATTCTGTGAATATTTCTTTGACGTCAGTGGCTGTCAGTATTCTTTTGAATTAAGATTTTATGGTTGTTGTCTTTTAATACAGTTTTGACTGTGTTGTCACCAGGCTGACTTGGCACCTTTGTATCAATTTATTAAGCAGATTCATACACAGCCTAGTTTCATTGATTTGAGTAGCTCATTTTTGGTTGTCACAGGCACAATGAGCAAAATGGTATCCTGTGTTGTAAATTTTCAAAATTTTCTATGAATAAATCTCTTTATTCATTGGCTGTATTAAGGTATGGTACTTGAAGGGAAAAAAGTTAGTTTAATGCTTTGCATGCTATTGGCGTGTGTTTTAGCTGAGCAGTTATTGACGAGTGTTGCCAATTTTCTGACCAAGCATCCCCATTTGGATCAACGTTTTCAGTTATTCCTGTGAAGTATCAAACTATCCAGGCTTTGATATTAGCTGTTACAGAGATAGTAGGAACTGCCGATGCTGGAGAATCTGAGATAACGTCAGCTTTCCTGCTCCTCTGATGCTGCCTGGCCTGCTGTGTTCATCCAGCTCTACACCTTGTTATCTTTGATATTAGCTTCTGTCTCATTGTCGTCTGTTGGATATTTCTTGATTTTGGAGCATTCTCAGTTCTTAACATTTCCTTGAAATAGATATTGTTTATCACCAGAGGACAGTTGTCCCTGTTTCCTTGCATTGCACTTTTTAGAAAAAAAAAACGTGTGAGTTATGAATATTGCCGAGACAGTAGTCAAGCAGGTTTTCATCTTCTGTTTGTTGACATGAGAGAGGTCATAGATTTACTCCCGCTGTACATTTTATTAAATGCACCGTCATGTTGCATTCTGAAGTGACTAAACTGTTCATTGCTCCTGGTGACATGTACCATACATAGTAGACTGGCATAAACCATGACCATTTCATTGACAATGTCGCAATCACTTGGGGTTTTCAGTGAATTTTACAAAACCAAAAGACTGATTTGTTTACAAAATCTGATTTTATAGTTTTTCTTTATCTGCAGCTTGTGCATTTCTGATTCACATTTGGCCTTTAGCAAATTACCCCCAGTCATATCAGGTCTTCAGCTTTCCATGGATGGATTTCCTTTTCTGGACTTCCCACTTGTAGTTGCTTTGATTGCATAGTATTTACCCAAGCTGTGTTTCAGTTTAATTCTAGCCTTAATAGTTTAAACTTTGGGCTTAATTATGGCATTTCTAGACATAGAAAGTAAACTTGTGTGTCACACTATTTGATGTAAATGGTAATAACAGAAGATCTGTTAAAGTCGTGGTAATAGAATACTCGTATCCAGTTCTACTTGATGGTGAAATTTGGAATAAGTTTTTGACATCCATGTGTTCTGCTGAGAATAGGACTTTCTGCTTATTTTGAGAAAGAGAAGTGAGTTTGGCAATCAGGTTTGTAATAAGTGGGTTTCATTCTGTAAGATTCGTCTAGCAGTAATGAGAAATTCTATTAAGTTGCACCAGTTATTCAGCCAACTTGCCTCATGACTTGTTGAAGCATTGCTAGGAATTGTCTTTGCGTGCAGACCTTGCTTCCTTGAACTTTAAGTGGAAACTGAGTTTTCTGATGAGCTAAGGCATATCCCACCCTCAATTTGGTTTATAATCTCACTGAGATTACCACTTTACAGTTGTTCAACTTGCTTTGGATTTGAGTGCCACATGGTAGGGACCAGGTTATCGGTTACAGTTGCACATATTTGTGTAACCTTTGGTTCACCCATGCATTTTCCCTATGTCCAGAAAACAATTGTTCTGGCAACATGGTCTGAAAGAAATGTTCTAAGTGAATTGTGGCTGAAGGTCTTTGCTCCTGGCCCAGATGTTGAGTGCAATCTGATAGGATTGCGTGCCATCACTAGGGAAAGATGACTGAGCCCTGATCCAGCATCCAATTTAAATTCTCAATCCATACTTAGTGTAACTAATGTTCTTAACATTTTCACAAGACTAGATTTCCAACGGTAAGTGCATTTCCAGCCAGATAGTAAAATTATTCTGTCAGATGGATAGGATCCCAATCTTTCTGCAGTGACTTATTACAGATTTGACGCTGTTGTATGTTTATTTTTGTATACTTCAAATGTGATTTTATAGCCATCCTGAATACTGCAGTAAATGTCCTGGCAGAAATGAGCTCCATTCTCTGAATGAATTCTCCATTTAGATTTGATAAATGAAAACTTAGAAAATGATAGTGATAATGTGTAGAACTGATGGGGGGATACCTTCTTTTTCAGGAGTCAGACATATCCATCAAAAATATTTTACTGTGGATGTTCTGTTAGACTGACAACTTGCTCTTCCTCTGGGTCAAATGCCCCATTTACATTGCATTGAGAATCACCTTTTGTGCTATCTGGAAGTTCCTATTCATTCAACATTAAAGTTATTATTTTCTCTCGTGATGGTGCATTGACAAAACCTGATTTCAAGATGACATCCTCGAACTTTCTATTCCAAATCAGTGATACAGTGGCGCCCTTTCAGTCTTTTTATGTGTTTTGAGACTGTTGAATTCCTTGCCTTTTGGATCTTGGGTTTCCCCTTTAAATTTTGATGCGTAGCTCTTGGCCTTTTACATACTGCCTTTCTTATTGGGGAGCTTTGAAATTACTAATCATTCATATTAACCTTGTCACATAGTCATGACAGTTTATGACATATGGCTGAATACTAAATAGTGACGTCTGAAGAAGACGATAGGTTGTTTGAAAAGTTTCAGTGAGCAAACTCCCTTTGAAGCAACAGCCTTGAGGTCTCCATCAAATGCTGAATACGATTCTGGTGTTTATGAAATTGCTGAGCCGCAGTGAATGAGAGCAATGCCCTTGTCTGGCTTATTGGAGCTTAGGACATGTTATCATTTACCAGCAGACTGATTGCACCTGCCCATGTCGGTGTAAAGAAGTCTCTTCTCCTATCTCCTCATTGTGGAGGAGGATGTGCATAGTTTTGTACAGGTTACAATGTTTAGTGTATCAGAGATGTCAAATTATAAGTTATTAATATTAGAGAGACAGCCCTATGGTGTACTGCTTTGCTTTAAACTTTTAATGTAGAGCAGTTATTTCTATTCAGCTAATCGTACACCACTGATAAATTTAATTTTTTTTAATTCATAACTCTGGTCATAAATAAAGGACTATCAGTGTGATTTTGATTTGAATGTGATCACACTTGTTAGGTGTTTTCCAAAAATGGCTATTTGATCAAAAGAGAACTAAATGGAAATTATGGCTTATTTCCTGGGATTTGGGTTTTGAATCTTGATTTAATAGTGTGAAAGTCCTTATTTCCACCACCTGTTTTTAGATCTTAAGTTGATAGCATGGCTATGCCCATATTACAGACTTTATAGTCTGACCTTTGTTGGCTCTAAAATGGTAATCTTGCTTAGGAGGCCGCAGGGGTGGTTGTGGGAAATTGGCATGTCACACAGAAAGGGTAGTCCTTGCATTCAATTTTAACATGTTTGTGACTGCTACTATCTCTGGGTGACATGAGAAACTTGGGTGGTCATTTGCTGTTACTGCTGTCCCTCATTTTAACTCAGTTCACCTCACCATCTCCTTTGTACCCTCAGCAATTAAGTGTCTTGTTTTCTTTTGTTCTGTAGCAGTTGACCAACCCAACAAGGATGTCCGTTGCGAGTTCTGTGGTGAATACTTTGAGAATCGCAAAGGGCTATCGAGCCATGCCAGGTCACATCTGAGACAGTTTGGTGTGACAGAGTGGACTGTGAATGGTTCACCAATTGATACGCTGAAGGAGCTGATGAAGAGGAAAGGAAAGCCTGAGCCACTTAGCCATGAATCAGTGCAGCAGGAACTGCAACGAGATCCTGAAAACTACCTGTACGAGGAGAAGCCAATTTCTAAGCCATTCGGTCAGCTTATTAAGTCATCTGGCAAGGAGGTGCAGCAAAAGCACCTGACATCCACAGCAAGAAAAGTGTTAACTTATATGCCCAGCAGCCAACATGCGACTGGGTCACCACTGGGCAAGAAGATACCTATGGGTTTTGTGTCAACTGCACCACTAAAGAAACCCATGCTAGATGATAGAAATCTGACACCAGAATTGAAACCCAGCTATGCTCCAGGGTCAGGCTTGTTTAAGCCAAAGGCCACATGGTCCCCGCAGGAGAAGGTGGCAACGAGTCCAGTAATAGGTAAGGCAGACTTGTTTGAATACTCTTAGTTTCTCTTTGGTATGATAAGGCTGTACGTTTAAGTACAATCAGTTGGTCATCAGATAAGTAACTCCTTTGTACCTCCTGGCATTGCTGCTTGCAAGAAAAATTTCCAGAGATACCCAGACTTCATTGTTTTGTTTTGTTTTTTCTCTTCCCTATGGTGTGGCATAATTGCTTGCTGTTTCTCCTCTGCATCTTCTGAGTCTCACAGCTGAGATTGGGGAGCTCATTGTGCAGGAATCCTGCTATAAGTCATGGTGCAGCGCATTGCAAATGCAATACTCTGCAAATGCTGCGCTTTTGCCCAGGTTTTACTGTGAGTGATTGCTATAGTTCCTGGCCCATCTTAGTAAGGAGTTTGGAAGGTTCACAGTTATTTGATTTTTGTTTTCTTTCCCCTAGATCTGTTTGCAGGATGTGGATGATATGGGGCTCTGTTTATTGTGCAACTCACTCACCCTGAGAAATCAGTAAGCTGCCTTCTTAACGTGACTGGCTTGTTAGGCCACTTTCAGAATGCATTAAGTGTCAACGTAGTATGAGACTAGAATTGAGTGAGCCAAACCAGGTTGGGGTGCCTGCTGGGAAGGATAGTTTCTGTACAAAACTAAGACACCTTTTCAAAAAAAAAAAAAATCCAATTTTGTGGTTTCTTTTTATCAGTTGTGTTACTGGGGGCCAGATAACTGTAACAATCTTCTACCAGCCACTTTATGGATTGTTATCTTGTTCAGTTTCCTCCCAAAATAATATTTCAGAAAGATGTCAATTTCTTCTTACATGAGGCAAAATTGACATTGATGCTGTGGTTCGCTGCGATTTTCTGTATGGCGCACACTGACGTGGTCACACAGTCAAGCTCAGCTCGGTTAATGCAGAAGGACAGCAGCACGGGCTGCTTTATACAGCTTCCCTGGAGAGAAGGTTTCTTGTACAACTGAAAGGATACTGGCGTGTGAAGAAATATATCTGACAAGGTGAAGTTTTCTGGATTTCTCAACACATTAGCAATGAGACAAATTAGTTCACAAGGTTTACTGATCCCAAAGGGATTATTTATTCCTGCTGTTAAGAAAAAAAATTGGCCAGTACTGGGCTCCAAATCTTTTACATTCTGATGTTGTCGCTGACCCAGAACTTCCACCTGAATACCTTTGTACTCTGGGAGAAGTTCTCGATTTTGAGTTTCTGTATTTACTCAATTCTGCTTAATTCTTAACTTTAGAAATATGCCAGAGGGGGAGTAACTCAGTTAGAGATGAGAAAGCTTTTCCATCCCATTAAACATAATCAGGGGTTTCGATTGTAATGATGCCCTTCCCATTTACTGTTATCTTGCATGTATTCTTGTGAAATCGTTCACAATTCCACATTTTCTAATGGTACTGAGTATTCAAAGCTGGTGGAAGAAATAAATGGGAACTTCACTTGTATAAGGATGCGGAATAAAAGACTATCTTTAAATAATTACCATTGTGAAAAGACGCTTTCTTGTTTTATCTGTTTTTTTTTCCAGTTTCTCTCTGTCTCCTTAAGGCACTAACTCTTGCTGAGTTACAGGACTAAGGGTGGGCGCAGTCCTCTGTGAGTGCATCCATCACATGGAGAACCCTAAACTATCCACAGATTTAACCACAGATGGCATCGCAACTGAACTTAATCTTGACCTCACATGCATATTTTCTAGTACAGGTCATTGTATTGTGAGAAAGAATGGGAATCTGAGCAAACTTTCTTTTAGTGCCCACCCCACCCCCATAAGAATTCAACTCACGTTACAGTGCTCCCACTGCTCTCCTTAAAGGAGATCAGCTAACTCCATTCCAGGACTATTCCTGCTTAGCATTTCACTGACCATTTCCTTTACCCACCAGAACCAAAATGGAATCTGTTATAATGTACCTCTTTGCAAATTCCAGCATTGTCTCCTGGGACTTTTTCTCATCGAAGTTACCGAAAGGTGATCAGAGATTCATGAGTGGTGTTCAAAATGTGTAGGATGGGTTGAGTTATAGGAAAAGGCACAGAGGTTTGTGGAATTTTACCCAGACCAGTGGGGTAAGCATAGTCAACTTTAAAAGGAAACTCAATAGTTTTTCAATAAGGAAAAGAGCACAGGAATGAAAGTGGCTAAGCATTTATGTGCTGGCACATTCTCAGTGGCCTGACTAGAATCCTGAGCTGTAACATGGTTAATTTGGCAAGCACAGAGAAAACCACAGTCTTTGCCATCAGGACTGTTGAACATTAATTTGGCTTAAACAGATGGCTGCATCACTAAACAGCCAGAGTCACATTAACACATTGATTTGTGTCCTGGTCTCTTCCCTGCAGCCGCAGATACTTGCTGCGAATTGTGCGGCCACTACTTTGAAAACCGGAAAGCTTTAGCCAGCCATGCCAGAGCCCATCTCAGACAGTTCGGGGTGACTGAATGGCACATCAACGGTTCACCGATAGACACCCTGAGGGAATGGATCCGCCAGAAGCCCAACATTGGCACGGGTGCTTCCCTGAACTGTGTGCAGGACCGCCCTCTTCCAAAACCCATCAGAAACAATATCAAATCTGTGGTTAAAGAGCTGTCGGGGGACCTGTGTTCTCTGCCAGGGGGTAAGACAGTGAAGTTGGAGCCAGTGCAGCCCAAAACAGTAGAGCTGGGGTTTCCGGCCTCACCGGTACAGAAGAATCCAGAGACAGAAAAAATGCCTCCGACAGAGTGCTACATCCCCACAGATCTGAGCCAAGGCAGCATTACTGAGTGCACCCCGAGCTCCTCTATGCCATCTGAGGACGATGAGCCACATCCAAAGAAAAAGAGAAGTAAGTTTGTATTCAGTATTTGAGCAAATATTTTATAGAATTTAAAAAGAACTACAAAAAAACCAATTGGTCACTTGTTTCTGTGCAGTGTTCTCATCTTAAAGGTGTAGGCTGTTCAGTTATGACCTACCACTTTAAGAGCCAGTTCCTGTGAAGCCCTTCCATTTAATTTTAACATAAGGCTTCTTTATTACGAAAAAAGTTGTAAGGACATCTAATTATTATAAAAATGTTTTTGCTTTTCCAAAACCACAAAAGGCTAAGTGGGTGATGGGCTTAGTTTGATAAATAGATAATCTCCAGGACTACTTGACTGATCATGATCATTGTGGCAGCAGCTAACTATATAACCCTTATTTAAACCATCAAACCTGAGTTACATCTCAATGTTGGATGAGGCAGTACGGGTTGAATGAGTACCCTCTAGTTGTCTGCTATTAAAGGAACACGTACCTGACCCCATGTAAATCAGTTGGCAGGTTATACAATCTCGTATTTCGGTATAGCGATAATGTTTACGTAGTTTTGTCAATTATTGTAAGCCCCTAAGAAAAATGAGTAACTTCTGTTCCGGTGATGGCAAATTCAAGAGAATTTCATGTCTGATCTATCTTTGTTTTGGTATTTGCCACCTTGTTTTGACATGAGTTCATTGTATAATGCTCAACGATTGACATATTGATACTGATGCCCACTGCAATGAGTTGTACTTTTATTTATCTTCACGATTGTCAGTTAAAATCTCTTGACTAGTTATGCATGCGTTTTTAAGTGCAGCATAAATATACTGTTCAAGATAGGTTTAGAATTTTTATGAACCAGTATTGAAGAAATTATTTCTAGCGACTTTTTCCAGAATTGCTCTATTTCCTTTCCCTAAAATTGAAAGACAAAGAGGTTGGAGAGTTTTCACCTGGGACAGTGAATCAAAGAATAGTGTGTTTAGAGTAGTAGAATCCTATAGCCAAGGAAGAGGCAATTTGGCCTGTTTCTGCTTTTGCAGGCTGTCAGAGAACTTTAGTCACAGTCCCCTAGTCTTTTTCCCACTGTGTATTCTTGGTGCTCCTAATGTTACTAGGAATGGCGATGGTGATTTATTTTCAACCTCTGCTAATCTACAACTGAAGTTGCATTCAGAAGTAAAACCAGAAAAGTACTGCAAGGTTGATAATGCAGAATTAAAGATGCCTTGCTGCAGTTGTATACATTCTTGGTGGGAAATGCACCTGGAGTATTGAATATAAGTTGGTCTCCTTATCCAATCAGAGATATCTTTACCATAAAGGGATGCTGCTGTACAGTACTAAAATTCTGAAGCATCCAGGATGAATTGTCTTATTCCCTTAAGACTTTCTTTATCCCTCTTATTGTCCGTCTTGAAAGTTGTAACTCAGTCTGGATTGCACTTAAGAACAAGAGTAGGCAATTCAGTCCATCAAGCCTTCCTAATATTTTAGATCATGGCATCTCAATGATGTTTTCCCACAACGTCTCCATATCTCCTAATGTCATTAGTCTCCAGAAGCCTACTGATGTCTGTTTTGGATGTCAAATTATTGAGCTTCAGAGAATTCTGGTGTAGAGATCACCCTTTGAGTTCCTCCTCCTCTCAGTCTTAAATCAGTTTTATCCTGAAATTTACCCCTTGGTTCTAGTTCACCAACCAGTGGAACATTGGATCTATATCCACCTTTTCATTCCCTGATTTCCCAGAATTTTCACTCATTTTATATCATTTTTCAAAACACTAAGATATGTAATCCTCAATATCTCATCGTGAGACAGTTCCACCATCACAGATATTAATTTGGTGAATTGCCATTGCACTCCCTTCGTGGTAAAGATATCTTTGCTTGGATAAGGAGACTAACTTACATACAATACTCCAGGTGCATTTCCCACCAAGGGTCTATACAACTGCAGCAAGGCATCTTTAATTCTACATTAGCAATCTTGCAGTACTTTTCTGGTTTTGATTTGTACAGCCAAGTCTTGACTTTATAATCATGGTTGCCATGATGCAGGATCACAGGGGAACAGATGGAAGTGGGAGCATTTTTTGCTCACCCTTCTCCTTCCCTAATGCCCCATGCTCTCAGTGAAAACTTGAATAGTGAGAGCAGCTGTCATTTCAAAGTACCATGTTAATAGTACACACAAAGTCCATCCTGGCCAGCAGAAAAGTCTAAATAATTATGTTTATCCTATGGGAGTTAAACCAGAGTTTCAGGCCCTAAGGAAAGATATACTGGCATTGTAAGCAGTCCAGAGACGATTCACTAGGTCAATGCCAGATATGGAGGGATTTTCTTATGAGAAGGGATTGAGTAGATTGAGCCTGTATTCCAATGAATACAGAACAGTGCGAGGCAGCCTCATTGAAAGATACAAGATTCTTAGGGGACTTGACAGGGCAGTTGTAGAGAGGTTGTTTTCCCTTGTAGGAGAGCCTAGGACTAGAGGGCGTAATCTCAGAATAAGGGGTTGCGATTTTAAGGTAGAGATGAGGAATTTCTTCTGAGGGTGAACCTCCATGCACCTATGGAATTCTTTACTTCTGAGGTCTGTTGAGGCTGGGTTATTAAGAATATTCAAGGCTGAAATCGTGGGGGAATCGAGGATTATGGGGGAAAGGTAGGAGGGTAGAGTTAAGGATTATCAGATCAACCATGATCTCATTGAATGGCCTACTTCTCCTCTGTCTGTGGTCACTAATTGATCCAAAATAAATAAAGGCATGAATTTATTTAGGACTTTTCATGCTCCATGTTTCAGAATGTTTTATTTGAATATCTAAATACCTGAATATATAGCTAGCACAGCACCTACCTGCTTTGAGCGCATATTTGGAAAATTTCAGAAAATCCAATTCTGTAATAATTTATAGTCAGTGCACCTAGAGTTTACACCTGCACTGTGACATAATAATGTTACCTAAAACATTAAATAACTCTCCCCTCTCTGAGCTGTGAAAGAAAATAAATTACAGATAGGCAGGAGTTACTGATAGGTTGTTGGATAATAGTTTAGGTTTCTTTGCTGGATTTTATCATTTGAATCCTTAAGTTGCTGGTAGTCCTATTTCTCTTCCTTAAAATATAAGTTACAAGACCCAAGCACCTTACAATGTAGTTGTTCAGTAGTTAATTAAAAGTTATTTCGGTCAGATCCTTTACCAATAAATGTTCAGCACTTTGCACAGAGATAACCAAATGCTGAGGAACAACTTTCTGTAAACTAAGATGATTTGGGTTCATGAGAAACAGACTAGCATGAGAGCAATGTCGGAAACCCACCAAGTGTGTGAGGAATGCAGCTAGCTAGTTATTACTACCCTAAGTCTTCAAAAAGATCAGAGTCGGTGAAAGGATATCACATTCAACTGCTCCATTTTGATTAAATGTATTATGTGGCTTGACCAAAGATGATTGTGATTGCATTCTTTTTGTTAAAACGCACACATCATTACCCTTCTATATGTTGTGAATGACATTTTAGAATTTAAGATTTTCGTTGTTACAAAGTATTGCCATTATTTGTGACGTCTCTAATATTAGAATTGTATGTTATACTATTGTTAGTATTACAATAGTAACAATGTTCTCAGTTTACCAAGGCAAATAACTAGGAAATTTTTTTTTGGTCTGTTGTGTCAGGGCAGTTTCAGACTTGACTGCAACACGTACAATGCATCCATGGTCAAATAATCTGTTAAATACGCTGTCTAGATTATGCATGAATACTTACCTTAAGCGAGGTATAGAAGAACCAGTGGAATTTGTGTATTTGCAAATATGCTGTCATTTTTCCTCCATTTTTGAAATACTCCTGTGAAACCCCTGGTATAGCTTACATTTATATGGCACCTTTTAAAATAGTGTTGTTGTTGAAGGATTTGCCGTAGGCCATGGAGCCATTTAAATAAATTATGGCTGATGTGTACTGCTATTTCTTCCACCTACTTTAGTTCTATATCCCTTTTTAGACTCCCGTGTCAATGGAAGAATTTTCTCTGTGTGCTCTATTAATTCCATTCAAAGTACTAATTTCTGGGGCAATTTTTCTGTTTTACAGGGAATACCAACTTTAGTTTATATAACCTCTTACAATTCAACATTCTGGCGAATCAACATTGTACTCTTTAAAAGCTAAGAAATCCTTTCTAATTTGGAATTCTCAGAACTGTGCACAGGACTTAAGACCAATGTTTCCTCTACATGAAGCATTCGTACAGTAACTGAAATGTTCCCATGCCAATTGGCATGGTTTAAGTTACTGTGTGTTCACAGCTGGACAACGAAAATGTAAATGACCCGTGCACAGGGTTACTTCAGACCAGCGCTAAATATAGCTGCAATAAAACTACTTCCTCTTCACATCTTCAGCCCTCCAAAATATGAGGACTAGCCTTTTGAATTTTTTTAATGTAAATGATCACTGCATACTACTGATCTTTGTACAAGGACCCCTGAAATCCCTTTAGATTTCCACTGTTCTTGGCATTTCACTATTTAAAATTACTCTGTTGCATCCTTTCTGAGCCATAATGGATAACCTCATGCTTACACATATTGAAATTTCTTTGCCACAGTTCTGCTGACTTTTCAATTAATGACACTTTGTAATTTTATGTATTGTATGTTTCCATCTACACTATTTAGTTGCAGCCAATCTGGTTGTCATTAGCAAACTTGGATATGTGATTTTCTGTTCCGCTACCTTAGTCATTAAAGATACAATGAATGGTTGAGGATCCTTGTGGGATACTGCCTGTTGCTTTCTTCCAAATTGAGGACTTAGTCATGTTTACTTACACTCTATTTTGTGTCACCTAACAAGTCACATAACCAGATCAATAATTTACCTTCTCAGAGTCTCTATAAGCTGCATCCATAGACTATTTAGATAGATTTATTGTTGTCACATGTACCATGACACAATGAAAAGTTCTTTTGCGTGCTCTACAGGCTGATCATATCATACAAACAGCATCAGGGTAG